ACTAACACCCAGGTATCTATCACCAAGGTACCTATCACCCGGTACCTATTTACTGTTAGGTGAACAGTGGCAAAACCAGTAAGTCCTTTTAGGAGACTTGCCCCTACGTCTCGCCCTGTCCAGGATGTGTGTGTGTGTGTGTGTGTGTGTGTGTGTGTGTGGTGTGTGTGTGTGTGTGTGTGTTTGCGGCAGGTGACTGGTAGGTGGTGGCAGTAGGGGAAGGTACCTCGGGTCGATACCTGGCCAGTTAGGGAGGTTTCCTGCTCCCTGATTCTCCCTTACTTCAGCGTTTAGGGTGCTCCCTACACTGTACTCGCCCATTTATGTTGTCGGGGTCGATGCACCGCTTCCCCATGACGTACTTCACTCTAGGCAAAATGTGCAACAACTGTCAAGGCTGTGGGGTTGACCACCTTCTATCAAGACTGAGGGACTGACCACCTTCCATCAAGACTGAGAGACTGACCACCTTCTATTAATACTGAAGGACTGACTACCTATTAAGACTGAGGCACTGACCACTTTCTATGAAGACTAAGGGACTGACCACCACTTACCAAGATTGAGGGACTGAACACCTATCAAGACTGTGGGACTAAACATCTTCTATCAAACCTCTATGCATCATAACCTCTCTTGAGGCTGTGTACAGTGTCTGCCTCCACCAAGGAGGCAAGAGGAAGGAATTAAGGGAAGGGGAGAGGAAGTTATGTTGAGATTGAAGGAGATGATGACTGAGGGGAAACAGCATCCCATGAACCACACTACCTCCCCTCTTGCTGCCTTCAATACCCCTCGCTATAACCCCGGTATTGTGGGTTCCAACCCCTGTATTGTGGGTTACTTTTGGGTTGTTACAACCCCGGTATTGTGGGTTTCTTTTGGGTTTTACTAACCACGGTATCATGGGTTGTGAATCATTCCAAGCATAGTAATGTGATTTAGGATTTTTTCCAGCTACAATATTGTGGATTAGTTGTGTATTGTTCCAGCCACTTTATTTTGGATTAGATGTGAGGTGGTGTAGGTGGTGGTCAGTTCTTCAGCCTTGATAGGAAGTGGTCAGTCGATCAGACTTGGCAGGAGGTTGTCAGTCCCTCCTTACTAATTAGCCAAGAAGACTCCTCACTAGTTGATCAAGAAGATTCCTAACTCCTCTCCAGATGGTAAACAAGACTGCTAACTCCTCTTCAGATGGTCAATGAAACTGCTAACCTTCTCTAGATAGATAAGACTAACTCCTCAGTAGATGGTCAATAAGACTACTAACTCTTCTTCAGATAGTCAATAAGACTGCTAACTCCTCTTCAAATAGTCAATAAGACTGCTAACTCCTCTCCAGGTATTAACAGGACTGCTAACTACTTTCCAGATGGTCAGGAAGACTCCTAACTAATGTTTATTGGTCCATCACTTTCAAGAGATAAAATTAGATCATATAACAATATTAATATTAAAAATGTTTACTTTTAAAAACTTTTCTTATTAAAACTTTGACTTAGGGATAAATGTTGCTTTTAATATTATGAAAAGTCTGAAGTTAGACTTGTAAGACTTAGCGGCAGGCTTATATTGGTTCACACAGGCGGGGCCAGGAGCTCTGACTCGACCTCTGAGTAGTTATCAGGACGACAGCAAGTAGAGCTATCAGGAAGAATATCAAAATGGTATACAGTACCGACAGGTTGGTAGGTAAGACACATAGGCAACAGTTAGGTAACTTTATTCCGAAATGTTTCGCCTACACAGTAGGCTTCTTCATTCGAATACTGTTCCTACCTACTTTCTGTATTCGATTGAAGACGCCTACTGTGTAGGCGAAACGTTTCGGAATAAAGTTACCTAACTGTTGCCTATGTGTCTTACCTACCAACCAGAGCTATCAGGAAGACAGCAAGTAGAGTTATCAGGAAGATAGTGCAAGTAGAGTTATCAAGAAATCAGTGCAAGTAGAGTTATCAGGAAGATAGTGCAAGTAGAGTTATCAAGAAGTCAGTGCAAGTAGAGTTATCAGGAAGATAGTGCAAGTAGAGTTATCAAGAAGTCAGTGCAAGTAGAGTTATCAGGAAGATACTTCAAGTAGAGTTGTCAGAAATTTTGTGTGTGTACTCACTTTATATGTGGCTGCAGGGGCCGAATCATAGCTCCTGGCTCAGCCCCATCGCTGGTCGCTACTAGGTCCTTTCTCTCTCCCTTCTCCATGAGCTTTATCATACCTCTTCTTAAAGCTGTGTATGGATCCTGCCTCCACTACCTCACTTTCCAGACTATCCCACTTCCTGACAACTCTGTGACTGAAGAAATACTTCCTAACATCCCTGTGATTCACACGAGTCTTCAACTTCCAACTGTGACCCTTTGTTTCTGTGTCCCCTCTCTGGAACATCCTGTCTCTGTCCACCTTGTCAATTCCTCTCAGTATTTTATATATTGTTATCGTGTTATCAGGTGTGTGTGTGTGTACTCACCTAGTTGTACTTACCTAGTAGAGGTTGCAGGGGTCGAGTCCAAGCTCCTGGCCCCGCCTCTTCACTGGTCGCTACTAGGTCACTCCCCCTGTTCCGTGAGTTTTATCATACCTCTGCTTAAAGCTATGTATGGATCCTGCCTCCACTACTTCGCTTCCCAAACTATTCCACTTACTGACTACTCTGTGGCTGAAGAAATACTTCCTAACATCCCTGTGATTCATCTGTGTCTTCCGTTTCCAGCTGTATCCCCTTGTTACTGTGTCCAATCTCTGGAACATTCTGTCTCTGTCCACCTTGTCAATTCCTCTCAGTATTTTATATGTCGTTACCATGTCCCCCCTATCTCTCCTGTCCTCTAGTGTCGTCAGGTTGATTTCCCTTAACCTCTCCTCGTAGGGCATGCCCCTTAGCTTTGGGACTAGTCTTGTTGCAAACCTTTGCACTTTCTCTAGTTTCCTTACGTGCTTGGCTAGGTGTGGGTTCCAAACTGGTGCCGCATACTCCAATATGGGCCTAACGTACACGGTGTACAGGGTCCTGAACGATTCCTTATTAAGATGTCGGAATGCTGTTCTAAGGTTTGCTAGGCGCCCATATGCTGCAGCAGTTATTTGGTTGATGTGCGCCTCAGGAGATGTGCCTGGTGTTATACTCACCCCAAGATCTTTTTCCTTGAGTGAGGTTTGTAGTCTCCGACCCCCTAGACTGTACTCCGTCTGCGGTCTTCTTTGTCCTTCCCAGTCTTCATGACTTTGCACTTGGTGGGATTGAACTACAGGAGCCAATTGCTGGACCAGGTCTGCAGCCTGTCCAGATCCCTTTGTAGTTCTGCCTGGTCCTCGTCCTATTGAATTCTTCTCATCAACTTCTCATCTGCAAACAGGGACACTTCGGAGTCTATTCCTTCCGTCCTGTCATTCACAAATACCATAAACAGCACTGGTCCTAGAACTGACCCCTGTGGGACCCCACTTGTCACAGGCGTCCACTCTGACACCTCGCCACGTGTGTGTGTGTGTGTGTGTGTGTTGTGTGTGTGTGTGCGTGTGCACGTGCGTGCGTGTGTGCGCGCGTGTGTGCGTGCGTGTGCGTGCGTGCGTATGTACTCACCTAATTGTGGTTGCAGGGGTCGAGACTCAGCTCCTGGCCCCGCCTCTTCACTGATCGCTACTAGGTCCTCTCCCTCTCTGCTTCCTGAGCTTTGTCATACCTATTCTTAAAACTATGTATGGTTCTTGCCTCCACTACTTCACTTGCTAGGCTATTCCACTTCCTGACGACTCTATGACTGAAGAAATACTTCCTAACGTCCCTGTGACTCGTCTGAGTCTTCAGCTTCCAGTTGTGGACCCCTTGTTCCTGTGTCCCCTCTCTGGAACATCCTATCTCTGTCCACCTTGTCTATTCCCCGCAGTATCGTGTATGTCGTTATCATGCCTCCCCTGACCCTTCTGTCTTCCAGTGTCGTCAGTCCAATTTCCCTCAAGTTTTGTGTGTGTGTTAATTACCATTTTGTCCTAGGCACATGTCGATTAGACACTAGGCCTGTTGTATATGAGTACGTGTGTGTGTGTGTGTTGTGTGTGGTGTGTGTGGTGTGTGTGTGTGTGTGTGTGAAGGGTATTTGCTACAATCATTGGAAGGATTAGGTAGGATCACTGGGATGTAGGATTCGATCCTTCCTGGGATGACCATGTGGGTTTTAATCCTTGACTTTGTTTTGGGATATAGATATCTCTCTGTGTACATGCACTGGGAGGTATCTCAGTGTATATACACTGGAGGTATCTCAGTGTATATACACTGGAGGTATCTCAGTGTATATACACTGGGAGGTATCTCAGTGTATATACACTGGGAGGTATCTCAGTGTATATACACTGGAGGTATCTCAGTGTATATACAATTGGAGGTATCTCAGTGTATATACACTGGGAGGTTAATCTCAGTGTATATACACTGGGAGGTATCTCAGTGTATATACACTGGAGGTATCTCAGTGTATATACACTGGAGGTATCTCAGTGTATATACACTGGAGGTATCTCAGTGTATATACATGGAGGTATTCTTGTATATTTCATGGAGGTATCTCATGTATATACACTGAAGGGATTCAGTGTATATACACTGGGAGGTATATTGCATTTTGTTACTGATGTTTAATTTAACACTTAAATTGCAGGTGTTGTGATGTTATATTGCAGGTGTTGCTGATATTATATTGCAGGTGTTGTGGTTAATAACACTTATATTGCAGGTGTTGCTGATGTTAATAACACTCGTACATTGCAGGTATTGATGTTAATAACACTCTTATATTGCAGGTGTTGCTAATGTTAATAACGCTTATATTGCAGGTGTTGCTGATGTTAACACTGTTATATTGCAGATGTTGCTGATGTTAATAACATTGTTATATTGCAGGTGTTGTGATGTTAATAACACTGTTATATTGCAGATGTTGTGATGTTAATAACATTGTTATATTGCAGGTGTTGTGATGTTAATAACACTGTTATATTGCAGGTGTTGCTGGCTACATGACGTATTAGGAAGGTGTTGACTACAGTCATCACTACTTACACCTCTAAATAGGTGAGTTCCCCCCCCCCCCAGCACTCTCTCTTAGCACTGGTGTACAGGCAGAGAAACAGAGAGAGAGAGAGATAGAGAAAGAGAGAGAGAGAGGAGAGAGAGAGATAGAGGGAAGAGAGAGAGAGAAGAGAGGAGAGAGGTTAGAGAGAGAGAGAGAGAGAGGTTTCAATTAAGGTAGGACTTGAAAACGCCAGTTCAATAATTAACTCAGGAATTAGACATCTTAACTGGCAAGTCTTAAGGAGATGGAAAGAGAGAGATAGAGAAAGAGATGAACCAGGAGAGAGAGGAGAGGAGACAAGAATGTTTAAGTTCATAAGTTAAGGTCTTGGGTAACGTTTGTAGTTCAGCAGGTTTTAAGGAAGAAGGTAGAAATGATAAATAATTCAGAAATTAAGGAACACCTCGATGAGAGGAGGAAACAGAATGTACGAAGGTGGAAGAACGGGAAGGAAAGACACAGAACTCTCAGTGTTTGGCGTAAATGAAGAAAGAAAACCCAAGGAAAATAGGTCAAAGGTAGAAAGAGGAGCAAAAAACTGATGAAAGAAATATGTAGAGAAGAACTGAAGTTAGTACCTGACCAACCAGGCTGTGGTTCGTACGTCAGTTTGCATGCTGCCAGCAGTAACAGCCTGGTTGATCAGACCCTGATCCACCATTAGGCCTGGTCTCAGACCGGGGGTGTTGACCCCCAAAATCTTCTCCAGGTAAACTCCAGGTTATTACAAATTTTGTTTAATTGGCCAGAAATAATTCTGTAATAAGAAGGAAATTAAGGAGAGAGGACAAGAGGAATAAAAGGAAGAGAGATGCATGAAACAAGAATGAAGCAGGAAAGGAATGGAACAGAGAAGAGACCACCTGTAACAGCAGAATTATTATTATTAGTAGTAGTAGTATAAAGACAAGTACCAAACCTGTATGGGTCATACAAACTATAAGGAGAAGTCCAGGAAATACCAAAATGCCCCGTACCTCAAAGAGTAAGGAAACAGTAATGGAAAGTAGAATGGGTGTGGTACTGAAGACTAGAGTTAACAAGTGTGAAGCCTCGAGAGAAAGAATAGCGGAGGATAACTCTGATGTAGCAGCTCTAACAGAGACTTAACTAAGGAATAATATTGATAAAATATTCCCATATGGCTACCAAACAGAAAGAAATGGACAAAAGAGAAAAACAACGAAGGGTAGCACAGAAAGTCAGAAGCTACTGAATCTTCGAGGCACCAGGAGCTGTAATGTCTGGAGAGACAATCCACCACCAAACAACAGGAGATCCGAGAGGACTGTGATCAGAATAGCAGGCAATGGTTCATTTAATGGAAACAGTGGCTGGGAAAACAAGAAGAAATAAAACTTAAATGTTAATCCTACGAGATTTCACCCACAAGGTGACTTGTAGGACAGGGACCGCCATGGTGGACCAGGAACATGGTGACTGGTAGGAGAGGGACCGCCATGGTGGACCAGGAACATGGTGACTGGTAGGAGAGGGACCGCCATGGTGGACCAGGAACATGGTGACTTGTAGGACAGGGACCGCCATGGTGGACCAGGAACATGGTGACTGGTAGGAGAGGGACCGCCATGGTGGACCAGGAACATGGTGACTTGTAGGACAGGGACCGCCATGGTGGACCAGGAACATGGTGACTTGTAGGACAGGGACCGCCATGGTGGACCAGGAACATGGTGACTTGTAGGACAGGGACCGCCATGGTGGACCAGGAACATGGTGACTTGTAGGACAGGGACCGCCATGGTGGACCAGGAACATGGTAGACTTGTAGGACAGGGACCGCCATGGTGGACCAGGAACATGGTGACTTGTAGGACAGGGACCGCCATGGTGGACCAGGAACATGGTGACTTGTAGGACAGGGACTGCCATGGTGGACCAGGAACATGGTGACTTGTAGGACAGGGACCGCCATGGTGGACCAGGAACATGGTGACTTGTAGGACAGGGACGCATGGTGGACAGAACATGGGACTTGTAGGACAGGGACCGTGGTGGACCAGGAACATGGTGACTGGTAGGACAGGGACCACCGTGGTGGACCAGGAACATGGTGACTGGTAGGACAGGGACCACCGTGGTGGACCAGGAACATGGTGACTGGTAGGACAGGGACCACCGTGGTGGACCAGGAACATGGTGACTGGTAGGACATAGACCACCATGGTGGACCAGGAACACGGTGACTGGTAGGACAGAGACCACCGTGGTGGACCAGGAACAAGGTAACTGGTAGAACAGGGACAACCATGATGGACCAGGAACAAGGTAACTGGTAGAACAGGGACCACCATGATGGACCAGGAACAAGGTAACTGGTAGAACAGGGACCACCATGATGGACCAGGAACATGGTAACTGGTAGGATAGGGACCACCGTGGTGGAGCAGGAACATGGTAACTGGTAGGACAGGGACCACCGTGGTGGAGCAGGAACATGGTAACTGGTAGGACAGGGACCACCATGGTGGACCAGGAACATGGAGAATGAAACTTATGGACACAGTAATAAAGAACTTCCTGAGAGAAAACATGTTAAGGATACAACAAGAGTGAGGGGAGGAGATGAACCAGCGAGACTTGATCTGGTTTTCTCACAAAATGAATGAGACATGGAAGACATTAATTATAGGAAATCACAAGAAGTCAACAATCATGTGGTGCTAAGTTTTGAGTGCTAGATGGAAATAGGAATAAAGAAAAAATAGAGGAAGAGAGTTGCAGGAAATGGAACTTCAAAAGAAGGGACTACGACGGAACGAGAAAGTTGAGTAAAGTGCTGTGAACGTGAACTGGAAGAGGAAATTGTTCAAGAAAGATGATGGTGATAAGAGTGAGTGTGCTAAGAAGCGAGAGAAAAGTCATATTAAAGATAAAGGAAGGAAAGAAAGAAAATGAATCCAGGGTTCAGTCAAGAATGCAGAAGTGAAGGGGAGGAGCAAGAAGACTTGGAAGTAAGAGAGAGGAAATCACACTGCAGTAAACAGAGAAAGCAGCAGAAGAGCAACTAACAGTACACAAGAATAAGAAGAGACTCGAAAAGACAGAAAATTGTAAAACATGAGAGACCAAAACTGAACCAAAGTTACTACACAGCTACAAAGAAAACTGCGAAGGAGCAATTGATAAAGTTGAAGAAGGAAGGAAGGAAGGAAGGAAGGAAGGAGAGGGAGGGAGGGAGGGAGGGAGGGAAGGACTCTAATGGTGAATAATAGAGAAGAATGAGAGGAACTTAGCAAAAGACTCAAAGAATTCTTTACAGAAAAGTGTAGAGCTACCAGAAGGAACTGTAGTTAGATCAAACCGAGAGGCGCTGGAGAGTATCAACAAAAGTGAGGGAACTTTCAGGTGAGCTAGATGTAACATAAGCAATGGCAGCTGATAAAGTGACACACACCTGTGCAACCCAGTAACAAAGGTAAACAACCAATCTCTCCCAGGTGCAAGTAGGTTCACCAGGATGGGTCCTGGACAGGATTTTCTCCATGCAGCAACCCGGCAAACCAATCTTTCCCCGTCAGGGCAAGTGCCAGAAAAATGGACAGAAACAGCTGTGGTCCCCAAATATAAAAAAAGTGACAGAAAAGAGGCACTGAAATACAGACCAACATCTCTAATATACATTCCACCAAAAGTTCTGAGAAGACAGTTGGAATGATTTTTAGACACTTGAAGAAAGTTCTATGGAAAACCAGGATTATTAAGGTGATAATCAGTCTAGATTTTTGGAATTTTTGATAGACACAGAGTTGAACCAAAAAGACAGGGCTGTACATTGCAAATGCAAGTACCAGTGACTGATCCAAGATTGAGGAAGGACCTAGTGACTGATACCATTAATGAGGAGTTACTTGGATGGTACCACATAATTGAGGAGGGTACCTAGTGACTGATACCACATAATTGAGGAGGGTACCTAGTGACTGATACCACATAATTGAGGAGGGTACCTAGTGACTGGTACCACATAATTGAGGGAGGTACGAGGTACCTAATTACTCGTTAAGTTGCACTAGTGTTTTCACCACTGGTCGTGGACGGGCGCCCTTTACCGGGTGGTAACCTGGAACATTGGTAGACTCAGGTATAATTTAGGTAACACGTGGTTTACTGCCAGTGGTCACTACCAGTAAGTTGGTTTAGGTACCAGCAAGATGGTTCACTACCAGTAAGTGTTAGTACGAAGATGGTTCACTACAGTAATGGTTAGTACCAGCAAAGATGGTTGCACTACCAGTAAGTGGTTTAGTACCAGCAAGATGGTTCACTACCGTAAGTGGTATGATACCAGCATAGATGGTTCCTACAGTAAGTGGTAGTACCAGCAAGATTGGTTCACACAGGTAAGTGGTTTAGTACCATGCAAATGAGTTCACTACAGTAATTGTGGTTTAGTACCAGCAGATGGTTCACTACAGTAAGTGGGTTTAGTACAGCAGATGGTTCACTACCAGTAAGTGGTTTAGTACAGCAAGATGGTTCACTACAGTAAGTGTATAGTACCAGCAGATGGTTCACTACAGTAACGTGGTATAGTACCAGCAAGATGGTTCACTACCAGTAAGTGGTTTAGTAACCAGCAGATGGTTCACTACCAGTAAGTGGTTTAGTACCAGCAGATGGTTCACTCAGTAAGTGGTTTAGTACCAGAAGATGGTCACTACCAGTAAGTGGTTTAGTAAGCAAGATGGTTCACTCCAGTAAGTGGTTTATGACCAGCAAGATGGTTCACTACCAGTAAGTGGTTTAGTACCAGCAAGATGGTTCACTACCAGTAAGTGGTTTAGTACCAGCAAGATGGTTCACTACCAGTAAGTGGTTTAGTACCAGCAAGATGGTTCACTACCAGTAAGTGGTTTAGTACCAGCAAGATGGTTCACTACCAGTAAGTGGTTTAGTACCAGCAAGATGGTTCACTACCAGTAAGTGGTTTAGTACCAGCAAGATGGTTCACTACCAGTAAGTGGTTTAGTACCAG